ATAATAAACTTTGATTATAGTTAGTCATAATTGTTTTGTATTAACAAACAAATTTACAGCATTTTTTTACATCAGGGATATTTTTAGACTTATTAAATCATTATTAAAAAAATTATAACTTTATCATCAGGTTGTGAGCCATATTAGTATTAAGATGCTGTAAATTACATTGTATGATGCTAGGATATACATGAGTCCACTGAATTACTGTAATGTTTTGTGAGTTTTTAAAGTTTAAAGTTAGTTATCAATTATATGTCAAACACCAGTTTTGACATGAAATAAAAGAGAAATATGATTTGTTTTTCAATGAACATGTTAAAGTTTCAGTTTTTGCAGATATTAAATAATAGTTTTACTACAAGGAAAAATATACAGAAAAAAAACTTGATTATCTTTAATTAAATTTTCAGTTCAGAAGTTTGAGAAAGTAGCAATAAATAACCAAAAAAAATCTCTTTTCTGTAGTTTGTAGCTTCTGTGCTTTCATCAGCTGGTTCTAATAGTCAGCTGGTGGGAACGCCATTGCTCAACTGCTCAGCCTCATGTCACGCTACCGCCTAAATCCTCTAGATCTCTTCAGAAGTGCTTCAAAGGGGTCGCGGCCGCAGAGAAGCCGCCAGTCACTTAAGGACAGTAAGCAGTCATACGGCCCTATTAGCCTGTGAGTAGCTATGAAATTTAATCATCTTCCTGGAGCCTCCGGGCAACGCTTCATGTCATGGGCGTGCTCCTCTCCGCCAGGCCGCACTAAGTGAGAGATAAAACGAGGAGAACAGCGCTGCAGATGATGGATAATAAGTTGTCTTTTTAATACAGCTGTCAGGGGACATTATTTGATGATGAATTACTGTAATCTGAGCAGTCAGTCTTTTATATGCTGAATTAAGCAAAACTGTTCGGGCCAAAAGAGAAAACGATGTTATTAAGATGTGCTATACAACACTACAATTATCAACCAGGACCTGTCACTATTTGAACTAAATGTTCTAATTAAGGTTCTTGTTATTGTACATTTGGCATTTTGTTTGATGGCCCTAGTGTCGGGTGCTTTATTGTGTTCCTACCCTCACAGTTTTTTTTCTAGTAGGTTGTGACTGTGTGTTTTAGAAGAAAGGAATAGAATAAATTAGTTGTTTTAAATGATTATACTGACAGTAACACTGAAAGGAGCTACCATCTCTTCTGCTGCTTTTCTGGCTGACACATTTTAGTTTTTCTTTTTTTTTGTAAGCGAACCTGGATTCGCACTTCCCTCTAAGCTGAGGCAACAGTCACTTTTACAAATCCATATTTCATTTACATCCCTCAGGTGTAAATCACACCGCTCGCACGATTAAAAGCGAGCTAAATGCGTTTTGCAGGCCTGCGAGGAGGCGTGTCTGTCCGCTCTCAGGTAGATAAAAACTGAACTGAGCTCAGCGCAGTGTGGGTCAGGATCACGCAGCGTCATCGAGATTCATGCGGATGAATCAGTACGCGCGGTGAGCGAGCCAAACACCTACGATCCTTACTTACAGCATATGCTGATGTACAGGAATAGCCGAGAACAGTCGCTCGGGTGTTGCTCATTCATGTCCGAAGCATCTGTGCTGCGCATTAAGTAATGAACAGCAGGGAGAAGCATTTCGATGTAATCTGAGCTTAAAAAAAATGAAATCATAAAGATTAGGCCCAACCAGTCGGTGCTGGCTGATGCTTAGGTTTTTATTTCTGTTGAAACTACTATTTTTCTCAAATTCAAGTTTAAACTGAGATAATCTGTAAACGTATTATTCGCTGCCCAATTTTAAAGCTCTGGCAGAACTTTGCTGCCACTGTTCCTCAGAACCTTTCCCCTTCTTTTCCCACTTTTCTCCTCTGCCTCTGTTCCCAGATTGACCCACAGCCAAAATGCCCCAATAACCCTCCTCATACCGCCTGATCCACGAGCTTGTCACTGCTCACGTCTTTTCTTGATGCAGACAGATGGAATTGTGATCAGTATGAGCCTCTGTCTCAGCTTCTGTCTCACACACTCCACACTGTCTATTTTGTCTTCCCCCTTTCTTATCCCTTACAGAGCAAAATCATAGGCAGACAAGGAGTGAGCGAGAGAGAGGAAGAGAGAGAGAGAGAGAGAGAGAGAGAATGAGTGGAAAGCCAACATGTGGGCCGAAGCCCAGGCTTTTCCTGAGCGACATTCTCAGTAATGTTCTGTCCTTGTAGAACATTGGGCCGCCTCTCTTTTATGAGATGTGGTTTTTCCGACTCCACGCAGCTTCCAGGAGGCCCAGATGGAACCGCTAACAACCCCCACCACCGCCATGCAACCACACACGCACATACTGTACACACACAAACAGCCCGAAACCCTAATTGCACACACAGTCGCAGGAATGCTTATTCAAGCTATCGGGCGCACACACACACACACGCAGAGCCACAAAATCACACTCATCCACACCAACCGTTCGCCAACATGGGGATTTGCTTGAGTGGCAGATGGCTGTGCACAGGGATGTGCTTCAAGCTAATTACAAAATAAGACTTTTTTATTTTTTATATTTATTTACTTGTATGGTAATTGAATTGTTTCTGGAAACACACTGAATGCTAGAAGAAGGTGAAGGTTTCCCGGGTGTGTTTGAAGGCTTCAGATCCTTTCCTTTCCTTTCCTTTCCTTTCCTTTCCTTTCCTTTCCTTTCCTTTCCTTTCCTTTCCTTTCCTTTCCTTTCCTTTCCTTTCCTTCGTTTTTTTACTGTAATGTTGTACATATGTACTTACACATGTTGAATATTGGATGTAATTACATGGATTAGGGTACAACAGTGTTTGTGTAAGACTGGAAACCATTCCCAGTTGCAGGTGGGCCTCAGTAAAGGTAGAACTTGGCCTCCGCAGTGGTTCAGGAGGGTATTTATTGAGCTAGAGTCACATTTCAACATTTTTGTCATCCTTTTCTGTCTCTTTCTTTCACTGCTCTCCCCTCTCTGCATTTTTTTTGCCTCTCACTTTCTCAGTCGTGAAGGTCGCCGTATCTCCTGATCCTCGCCTGAGAAACTTCCATTTTAGGTAGTCAAACTTTGCGCAACGGCAATTTTTTTTGGACAAAATCCCCCCGCTCCAATCTCCTCGGTACCGCACACTTGTAACCCCCGTTTTCCTCCTGTCCTCCTGTCCTCCCTCTCCACCCTCCATCACCTTCCCTCTCTCAGAACCTGTTTTCTGTTATCACTACTTAATGCCTCACCCTGGGAGATGGACGGGGGAGAGAGTGTTCTCCCGAGGTGGAAATTCTTATGTTCATATGGTTATGATTTGGTGGGGAGGTCAGGCTCAATTTTTCGCTGGAAGGCTTATGGTTGGCTCTGCGCTGGCCGTGCTGGGCTCCAAACACTTCAAAGACAGCCGGTGTACTTAATCAAGGTGAATCTCACCCCCTCTGCATGAGCACACACACACACGTGCGCACAGACTGTTTTGTGTCCTCCCTTGAGTTTTTTTGTGTTTTTTTCTCTTTTTGTTCTCAAACTTCCACCAATTCGAGATAAGAAGATCCATCAGAGAAAGGTAGAACTGAGGTTTCTGAAAAGTATTAAAACCCCAAGAAAACCATATTTGTATTAAAAAATATATGACATCATTGAACATTGTTGCAATAATGCATTTAAATAACCAAGGCAAAAAGCAAGTGATCCTGTTTACTGTCACTTCTCTCCCAGCCTGCACTTTGCGCTGGGAGCTCTTTACACAAGTGCTGCCCACGCCAAATCCTCCGTCCCTCGCTCTGCGATCCTGAACCCAGGCCTCAAATGAATTCAAGCTGGAGAAGCAAGGTTATGGGCAGGTTATGTTGTATGCAGGAATTTGGGAAATAATTCCCTTTATATTGGATTTGGAAGGCAGTCTGAATTTTGCCGTAGTTTCAACAAGGCCTCACAAGTTCAAAACTGAGACAAAAATAATAGCGGTAAGATGATTAAGTCTTTTTTTTCCTCTCACATTTTGTTGCTTTTAACACATCAGCTTGTTATCCTATAAAGATTTCTGAGTGTATACTATGTATAGTTATATTGTTTTTCTTTGTCATTCTTAGTTAAATTTCCTTTTGACTCCTGTTTTTTTTTTTACAAACTGCACACAACT